AACGTACGACCAGGTGATGCCTCCCCAGAGGACCATCACTCAGAGGGGCGTGGAAAGCCGCAATGGCAGCCACATAAACCTTGAGTGTGGACGGGGTAAGCCCGGCAGAAAAGCGGTCTTGGAGAAACTCCAGTACTGAAGCCACTGGGCAGTTAACTGGGTCCAAATCACGCTCTCTACACCAAATGGAAAATACATTCCACTTAAGGCCGTATAATTTCCTCGTGGAGGGAGCTCTGGAAGTTAGTATAGTCTCAACTACTTCTGCTGACAGGCCGGCTTCTAGGTACTGTGCCCCCTCAGGGGCCAGACCCACAGTTTCCACAGCTCGGGCCGAGGGTGGAGAACTGAGCCCCCCGCCTGAGACAACAGGTCCCTCCTCAGAGGGATCTGCCATGGCGGGCCTGCCAGAAGCAAGATGATGTCCGAGAACCATACTCGGGCCGGCCAAAACGGGGCTACTAAAAGTAGGCTGACTCCGTCCTGACGGACCCTTTCCAGAACTGCTGGGAGCAGAGCGATTGGGGGAAAGGCGTACAGACGCAGCCTCGGCCACGTCTGCACAATGGCATCCAACCCCAGCGGGGCTGGATGTGTGAGGGAGAACCACAGTGGACAGTGTGTCGTCTCTCGAGACGCAAATAGGTCCACTTCCACTGGGCCAAACCTCTCGCATATTAGCTCCACCACCTCGGGGTGGAGTCTCCATTCCCCGGGCCTCAGCCCCTGCCTCGACAGCATGTCTGCTCCCTGGTTCTGGTCCCCCGGGACATACATCGCCCTGAGAGACGACAGTCTCCGCTGGGACCACAGGAGGATCTGATGCGCCAGTCTGCACAGAGGGCGCGACCTCAGACCCCCCTGATGATTTAAGTAAGATACCACCGACATGTTGTCGGATCTTACTAGGACATGGCGACCATGGAGGTCTGGCAGAAAGCTCCTCAGAGCCCGGAACACCGCCAACATTTCTAGGCAATTTATGTGCCAAGAGGAATGTTGGTCCTGCCAGAGACCTCTCGTAAAACGGCCGTCCATGACCGCGCCCCAGCCCGTGAGGGAGGCGTCTGTCGAAATAGATATCCGGTGACACGACGCTCCCAGCCTGGGACCCTGGGACAAGAACCAAGGCTTCTTCCAAATTGATAGGGAACGAAGGCATCTGCGCGTAACCCTTATCAAGCGGAATGGATTTCCCCTCGGGGAAAACCCCTTGGCTCTTAACCACCACTGCAGGGCTCTCATGTGCAGCAGGCCAGAAGGTATCACGCTGGACGCTGCTGCCATTAGACCCAACACTCTCTGAAAGTGTTTGACAGTGACGGCCTGGCCTAGCTTTATCCTGGACACTGAGGTCAGGATAGACTCGATCCGAGCAGGAGACAATCGTGCCTGCATCGTGACTGAGTCCCACACCACTCCCAGGAACGTGGTTCTCTGGGCTGGTGTCAACACGCTCTTCTTCGTGTTGAGTCTCAACCCCAGGCTCTGGATGTGGGCGAGGACGACATCTCGATGCCGAATCGCCAGCTCTCTCGACTGTGCCAGTATTAACCAGTCGTCGATGTAATTGAGCACCCTGATGCCCTCGAGCCTCAGGGGTGCTAGAGCTGCATCCATACACTTGGTAAAGGTGCGAGGGGAGAGTGCTAGGCCGAACGGAAGAACCCGATATTGGTAAGCTTCGCCCCCGAAAGCAAACCTCAGGAACTTCCTGTGAGATGGAAGGATGGAGATGTGGAAGTAGGCGTCTTTTAGATCTATCGTGACAAACCAATCCTCGGATTGGATTTGATTCACGATAATGGGAATAGTGAGCATTTTGAACCTGAATCTCCTCAGAGACCGATTCAGATGCCTCAGATCTAAAATTGGACGCAACCCTCCATCCTTCTTTGGAACTATGAAGTACCGGCTGTAGAACCCGGACTCTCTGACTAGTGGGGGAACACGCTCTATGGCCCCTTTTTCTAGCAGCGAGTTGACTTCCTGTCCCAACACAGGGCGGCCCTTGGAGGTCCCACAGGAGTTAGGACCTCTTTCCCTTCGCCTTCCTGGACTGGATGACGGTCCTCAGATCCGTCCTTCCAGCAGGCTGTGGGTGAGAGCGCTGCCTAGGGTCCCAAGCTGCTTGAGGGGGACCTCTAGAAGCGACACTCCCTCTTTGGCCCTGGCGATAGGAGCTGGATGACGGCTGTGGCTGTTTTGACCCTCTAGCAGCCGACTTCCTAGACCTCGACCGGCGAGGGAGATATTGCCTAAACGCTTCACTCTGCTTTTTAGTGTCCTGAAATCTGTCGACGACAGCATTAACCGCCTCGCCGAACAGACCAGAGGTACAAATGGGTGCATCAAGAAGAAAAGCCCTGTCCTTCTCCTTGATGCCAGAGAGATTAAGCCACAGATGCCTCTCCGTGGTTACCAGAGCTGACATGGAGCGGCCGATGGCGCGGGCCGTCTCCTTGGTAACCCGGAGAGACAAGTCTGTGGCTTTACGAAGCTCGGCAACATCCTCCCTAGTAGAACCCTCGCCCTGGTCCATGTCTTTTAAGAGGTCGGCCTGGTACGCCTGCAGAATGGCCATCGTGTGCAGGCTCGCACCAGCCCGACCTGCCGCCATATAGGCTCTGCCCACCAACGCAGATGTAGTGCGACATGGCTTGGAGGGCAACGCCGGCGTCTTAAGGGACGATGCAAGATCGGGTGAGAGGTAACTGGCTAAAGCTTCCTCAACCCGAGGCATCGTTCCATAACCATTCTCTCTAACCCCCATAATGTCACTATAGTTCAACATCGGGGGGTTAGACAGGCGCGCTGAAAAGGGCCTGTTCCAGGATTTACACAACTCGTTGTGTAAATCCGGGAAGAACGGTAGAGACCGGCGTGGAGGATGTGCACGGTGCTGCAGGAAGCGCTCGTCGAGTTTACTTCTGACTCGCTCTTGCTGCCTCTCCTGTGGCCAACTAATATGTAGTTTAGTCACAGCCCGTGTCACCACCTCCAAAAGCTCATTATAGCTGGGCGCAGTTTGTGTGTGTGTGTGTGCTTCATGCAGATCCCCCTCCACAATGCTGAGCACATCTAATTCCTCGGAATCAGACAGCTGCAGCACTGGGTCTACATCCCGAACGGGAGAAGCCGCGGAGCGGGCTCCCGAACGGGGGATAGGGGAATCTGAGCTTTCAGATGAGGATTGGGAAAGTGCCTCGGCAGTCCCGACCCCCTCTGAAAGCTCCCTTTGCGAACCCCACGATCTAAGTCGCCGCATCGCCTCGGCAGATGCGGGACCTGAACCGCGGGGAGCGCGCATCTGGCCATCCTCAGAAAATAAAGCCAGACGGGAACGCAGCACTCTCATAGAAAGAGAATCACAGTGGCCGCAAGCAGCCCCCTCGAGAGCTGCTTGGGCGTGCTGCATTCCTAAGCAAGCCACACACATCTCGTGTGTGTCCCCAGCGGTGATAAAGCGAGGGCACGGGAACACACAATTTTTAAACTGCTCACTCATTTTCAAAATAGATCAGAACTGAGACAAACAACACCAAATAGGACAAACTGATTTCAACACAACACAGAGCGCTTGCTGAATAGCAAAAAGCTGACATTTTCTGTGTGCCGGCGTGCTTTTGTACACATCCGCTTATGCCGTCACACGCTACGTCATCACGCAACGCCAATAGGATTGGATTCGGTTTCATTCATAAATTCAGACGTGCTACGCTGAAGGGCGTTCCCCTAGTGTCGTCACCGACGCAGTTCGAGTTCCCTCGAAAGGGAACACATTTCAACACAAAAGTCCTTATAAAACATAGAACCGGGATCGGGACAGCATCCCACCTGTCGTTACATTGTTATTTAGAAATTCCTGTTTTTTGCTGAAGCTGAAGCGTGATGCGTAACACGAGAATGAACCTCATTGGTTCTTGCTGAACGAATGAATGATAATGAATCTCATTAAAATAATTTAAAAAATGCTATACCAATATTTACCCTCGTTTTTTTTAATTCACCGGTCACATTTCCTTTTACTTTTTTTTTTTTTTACTTTTTTTGGATTCCTTGCAGTGGAGCCTTTCAAATTTGCCAGGGCAGTGACTGACAAGCGCCTCTTACTGATCTCCTTGTCCGTTTCAGCTGGTGTTAGTCATGTGATGCTGACTCTGAACGAAAAAGCGTTGAGGTAGGCTAGTGCTTTTTGTCCCTCTCTGCTATTGTAGTTTTTCACAATCTCGTTTTTCGAGAACGACATGGAAGCCTCCTTGGACTTACCCGTCCAATGTAAATAAAAATAAGAAATTCTTCGCTTACAAGGATAAGTCAGATCATTGGCAGAGGTCATTTTACACCAATGAGGACATATTTATGAATAAAGACATTGATGTTAGCTAATAAAATACTTAAAAAAAACCTACACAGGCACAGTCACACAAAAAACAGAATTTTGCTGACAATCATTTTTTCTGTGCATTTACATGCTAGACCTCTAACATGCAATACCACCGATGGAGGTGAATTAAAAATCCTTTTCACAGATGAATTTTTTCGTTGTTGTACAAGAAGCATCAAACCAAGAGTCTAATCTGCTTGACCCAAGTCCCAGAGCAACACAATTAGAATTTCTCCCGCCATTAGGTTGTTGGAGATACCCGCTCCAGAACCTTTAAGAGACAAACAAGCAATAATACACTAATAATACTTTTAGAAAACATCAGTATATTTGTACATTGATTAACATTCATAGACATGATCACACATGCAGAGTTCTTACTGTAGTCCAATGTCAGTGAGAGTTTGGTTATTCACCCAAACCCAGCGACCTTCAGTGTCCAGATCATTGAGACCAATCCAGTGCGTCTCTTTAATTTTAGACGCCAGAAAATCCTAATGGGGAAAATGTACATAAGTGATAGTGTGTTTGGTACATGTGAGGGTAAATGTATAGGTTAATAGAAACACTTTAAAAGCTTTGTTTTATTTGTGTGATCAAAACATATTAATTTCTAATTGATCTGACTTGCCTGTTCTGATTGGCTGGTTATGGTCACCAGATCGGCTCCTTTTGAAACACAGACATCTCGACTGTTCGACCAGTTCAGTTCATCAGAGCTGAAGAAATACAGCTTTCCGTGACAAACTAACCATCCATTCACAGAGAGATTACAACACTTAGCTGTGAAAGATGAATTAAAAAGTCAATTACACCTTCTATTGTTTAGATCAATAGAGTTAATCAAATGGTTCCATGTGCAAAAATATTCACACTTTATGTTGGTTGTAAACTGACACTCACCTTCGTAAAAGGACAGCCGTTCTCTTTGTGTGTCGTATCTGGCTGTGAGATCATTAAACTCTTTCTTCATAGCTGGTGAAAAGACATTTAAAAAGTAAAGGAGAACAAGCAGATACTGTTTCTAACATGGTGAGTTCAATAAACACTCAAACATGTCTGTACCGTTTATGAAATACAGTTTTCTCACCTGTGACTATGATCTCTTGAGCCGCCACTGTCTTTGAAACCATGATGTTCTGCTCATTCAGTGATTTGAAATCAGCAAGCTTATGATAATCTGATTAAGACAAAAGCAGCAGTGGAAATGTGTTTTTTAGGAAAGTCCACATCAAGCACACTTAAGACTGAAATGATCTACAAACCATTCTGTAAATGTTTGTAAATGAAGTGTTCAGTTATAATTAATGAGAGTTCAATTGTATGATTTTATAAGCTACTAAAAATTGTATTGCGACTTCTAATGATGCTACTGTAGACGTACTTACAGTAACTCAGTCAATACAACCCTGAACAGAGCAAAGATCAAGTATCAGTTATACTTACAAATCACCCCGAGAGTGCAGAGACTTCCGAGAGCGAACACAAGAGAGAAACCCAGAACAATCAGAGAAACTTTAGTCCACTTAAAAAAAGTGACCTCTCTCGCTCTCTCTCGCTCTCTCTCGCGCTCTCTCGCTCTCTCTCTCTCTCTCTCTCTCTCTCTCGCTCTCTCTCTCTCTCTCGCTCTCACTTCAGTGGAGTTGCCTGGGATTACAAATTTGATGAGAAAAATTAAATGATTTCTGAACCTTGAATCTTTGCAGCATTTCCGTCTGGAACCATTCCTGAATTTACACTGGGTTAATTTCTGTACGATACATTTTTAACAGAATACATTTTCAACACATTGACCAAACCTGACATTTTATTAATTGTAATTAATTATTTATTTAGTCTTGGGAAATCAGCTCTAACATTCAGTTAAAATCTACCTACATCATATGGTTGACTATTTTCTGAATGTTTATCAGTGTGGTTTTATTGGAAGTCTTCTAAGCCAAAGGACTCAAATGCACGAGGGTAGTTCTGAGTTGATGCAGGAGCATCCGTTTGGACGATGTCCACCTTGGTGGTCCAGAAATACCCCTGGCTAAACCTTGTAGGGGTGTGAGATGTCGACAAAGCGCACTTTCTCTATGAGCTGTCATGGCCATCGTGAGCTGCCCCTGAGTCTGCTCGTCACCAAAGGCGTCTGTTCCACTGCGGGAAAAAAGCAAGCGCTCTGGCGCGACCAGCTCAGCCGTGACGTCGAGCCTCGCAGCAAGACGACACCACCCGTTTCAGCCGCTAATCCTCCAAGCGTTCGGTGAAACACCACCCATGAGACGGTTGACCCGGAGATGGGCGGAGCTGCAGAGGAGGGCCGGGTGGAGAATCTTTTGTTTTGTTTCTGTTCCGCCGCTGGCTGCCAGCGGAACGCACATTTTCAATTAAAGGGCAGTTTCTTCTATCTCTGGGTCCCAACAGGGTGCGCAATGCACGATACTCTGCCTTGCCACCCTCAGGCCCCTTTTGTCGCCAGTCCATATGTGTAATTTCCACATGATATCTCCCTATGGGTAGGATGTGGATTCCGCAGAGTCCTTTTCCAAAACTTGAAAGGACACGCTTTCGCAGTGTTATCCAATAGTCTCGCTGAATGGGTCATGCGGAACAACAGTGATCGACTGTCTCGGCGCCCTGTCCCATCTTCCGCCCCAGGAGGTGCGGGGGGATTAGGTGGCTTTTGTTAGGGATCCCAATTCGTTGGTACGTTCCGACGTGACGTGTACACCTGCATGTTCTATGCGAAGCTTCTCCTGGCATTACATGCTACCCAGATTTTGATTCCTTATTAAGCCAGCTCACTGGGCATGAACTGCTCGAACACACATCTACCTGTTAATGGCACCAGGCACTCATGCACTGTTAATGTCAGGCTCTAACATAATTCTGACCCCCTCCAAATTATTGCCCCTAATTAGTTGTGTGGGGGAGGGGTTAGGATTAGCCAATCAGGTACTGACTTCAACGAGGTGGCAATCATTTGCCAGGGAGTCGAAATTCGGCACAACACCTTGTACAGTGGGAGACGCTCGACCCATGGATTCCAGGCATCACAGATTTCTGCCAGCTTGTCAGTTTCACACCGTAGACCTGTCATCAAATCGGATGACTCTTGACAACATGTTGAATCTTTGTAGCGACATGACAGACCGAAAAATTGCACTTCCATTTTCATCTTCCCATGCACCAACTGGGCAGGGTCCCTCATTGTTTGAGCGATACACTCCCGCAAGAATGAGCACACCAATAGATGCTTCGATGTCTGTCCAGTCCACAGCCCTCCAGTCATCACCAATGTCTTTCTCAATCTCTCTCACTCTCTTTCTCTCTGCACGTGTGTGTGCATGTGGATGCATTATCACTCCTTCATATCTTTGTTTTGCATTTGTGGCTAATTTCATTTGCAAAATTTCATAAAAGGTCTCTGTTGCTGGGTTTTTATACTGTACAAACTGTATATTCTGTCTCCTTACACTAACCCGCCCTAAACCTTCCCATCACACTAAACTTGATGCATTTCACAGAGACACGAGTCCCCATGAGTCGTATTTCTGTATTTCTCAATACTTAGGTCACTTTTTTATGGAAGCAGATTAGTCTCAAATATAATTCACGCAAAAAACATGATTCAAACATGCGTAAACAATTTCACATGCATGAAACCTAATTCACGTACACTCAAAAAAAAATTCACGTGCGTGAAAAAAATGTATATTCACAAAAAGCAATTCACATGCGCAAAATAAATTTATATATTCGTAAAATACATTTCACAAATGCAAAACACACTTTGTAGATATACAACTGTGCACAAAAACCTTTCAATGTTTAAAATGTACGAGTGTGTCCTTGAATTTGAATGTGCAAATCGTCATTCACGTACGAATCACCTTGGTTGTGCGTGCGTGCGTTTTTGAGACTTTTCTATGGAAGCAGAATAGTCTCAATTATAATTCACGCGTGAATTGGGTTTCATGCATGTGAAATTGTATACGCATGTGTGAATCATGTTTCTTGCGTGAATTATAATTGAGACTATTCTGCTTCCATACTTTTTCAAAACTCTTCACTCAGTGAGCACAACAGAACTATATGTGTGCTAAACAGTGCATCATTTATCATTGCTTTGGCACAAAATGCATTCAGTGACTACATCTTTCAAATTACATTAATTTTCTCTTTTCGACAAAACTCTGTGTATACAGGCTAATTTACACATGCTTACTGTTTTCAAAACTGTTAAACTTAAGTTCAAAACAATTACATAATACAAAACTGAATAAGACAGCATTTTGCCACATTTCTATAGTAATATTGTAATGAAATATATTTTGAATCTAAAAATTAAATGGTATAAAAACAATTGGACAATTGAACCAACCACAGCTGATTCCTATTGTATCTGTATCGGTGGATGGTGTGTATACAAATTTTTGTACTTTGGAATTACTCCAAAAACATAAAATATATAATGTATTGAAGCTAACTGCATCATGGCTAATTCATTCTAGTAACATATATTGCAGTGAATTCTAAACAGTATAGAGAGGTAGAAGAAAGAAAGCATTTACAGAGGAAAACATTTTTTGTTTTGTGGGTGACGAAGTGTGTTTGTTGGCTGTCAACCTAGTGTTATGGAAGAATGTGTTGATTTGAGACATGCACGAAGTGATTTTATAGTTTTAGTGCATTTTGAAATTAACTGCTGTGCCGAGCTGAAAGTTGGATAGGAGAACTGAAGAGATGAAAAAGTAAAAGTATTGAGAAATGTGTAGCAACTGTAAAAAACTGTGATGAACTGACTAAAACTAAACTGAAATTTAAAGCAAAATTGAAAACGATATTAAAATAAAAACTAATTTAAAAATGTAAAACTATAATAACCTTGGTGTGTGTATATAATGTAGAAAAAGTCACTATATGCCATGAGATGAAGGGAACCATGTTATTTTAACTAAGGAATAGTCGATTGGGATCATATTGACTCCACACACAATATGAGAGTTACATTACAGAGTTCACAGCTTTTGATCCTAGGGAACACATGAATAGATAAAATGTATACCTCGAATGTAATGTAAGCCGCTTTGGACAAAAGCATCTGCCAAATGTGTAATGGTTGAATGAACATATATATATATATTTAAAAAAAAAAACCTTACAGTTATTGCATTGCTAAATCTGAATAGAAATTCAAATGCAGCCTTACCTCTGTGTTGAGAGCATTTTTCATCTGAAGAAACTGTTGAAAGTGCGATATCAGGATTTTCATAGACTGAACCCATTTCATGAACCTGACAGAAGACGTGTCCGCTGAGACTTGAGTGCTGTTTCAGTTTGTTCAGAATAAGGAAGTCACATAGTTTTTATCTCCTGCTTTAACTTTAAAAAAAAAAAAAAAAAAAAATTGAGTGCAGAACAGCACTCTAATTGTCTAATTGTAGTTTGCATGACCCCCTCCCCCTGTTTGTTCAGACTTCAGAGACTCATTATTTTAAAATGAAATAGAAATATAAATTTGATGGGAAAATTTTTATTTGAAATTGAGGGGAGATTTATTTTTTACTTAGTCTATATTATTCCCAAGGTTCCCGGAGTAACATTTAAGGTTTTTAATTTATTTTTGAAAACTGATTCATGTGAATGTTATTTTAGCCTTCAAATATTATTTTAAAATACTTTTATAAAATGTTTTTTTTTTAAAATATATATATTTAATAATACTGAAAAATTATAATAATACTCAAGTTCACAAATACTACAGCAAATTCTCACTGAAGACAACATAAAAAGTAAACAAATATAAATCTGAAAAAAATCTGGTTATCTGAAAATTTGCTAGCTTGTTTAAAACATTAGTGTTTGTTTTATTCAAACCACATCTCTAAATAAGTGTCTTTATAGAAATCGTACTAATTTAAAAGAGACTAATACACTTCTAATCTCTTCATATTAAATGGACAGTAATATATTTAATCATGTCTGGCAACTTGACATATGTTTTCAGTATTAATAGTATATCAGTGTATTACAAATGAACTGGTTCTATGCATTTATTTCCATTCAAAGTGATGAAAACGTAATGAATTAAACATAAGCAGCAGCTTCACACAAATCTTTTCTCTTGAATTAGAGATTTTAGTCCAGTTATCAGGCTCTCTGACATTCTCTCGCTTTATCCAGAATCTGCAGAACTAAAAAACTAAATACAACCACTGGCTGTTTTTCCATTTAAAGGTTGTATTTTAAGCATGAATGAAGCTCTTACTCTGCTGAATCATTAAGTGGTTGTTCAAATCAGTGTCCAAATCATTAAGAACAATCCAGTGCGTCACTTTAACTTTAGAGGTAATACCCATGGAGAAAAAAATGAACAGTTTTAACAGTGAGATCAGATGTAAGACACACATGGTTCAGAGCAGAGAAATATAATATTTAAGGTCAACATAAAAACAGCTCGCTAAAAATACTTCTCTGCTTTTAACTTCTGCTTTATCTTATAATCTAGCTTATACTTGAGACTTGGCATTATGCACAGCAAATACTGTTAATTCTTAAAATAAAATGTTTGTTAGGTCACTCATTTGTAAGTAACTTTGGATAAAAGTGTTTTCTAAATGTATAAATCATTTGCAGATGGAAAAATTATTACCTTTCATTCAGTTTCACTCAGAAATATGCTGCGTTATGGAAGTAAAAATGGTTTAATTTTTCATGTTGACATAATATTTACAGTACAGTTTAGCAGTTTGATTTCATATTCTAACTGTAGAATATGAAATCAAATGTAATAAGGATGCATTACCTGTAGTATAAATATATACACTCTTAAAATGAAATATTCCAAAAGAGGGTTTTGACAGTGATGTCATAGAAGCTTTTGTTTTGTTCTCCAAATAACCTTTCAGTGATCCAATCTTTTCTTAGTATGAAAAATATTTGACCTTTTTCTGAACCAGCGTAAAAAAAAAAAGAAAGTTGCCAGCCACCACCAACATTTTTGATCATTTTCACAAAATGTTCATGGCCCCCAAAATATTTTGTTGAATGAATATCTGAACATGCAATAATATCACAAGAAACAGCCCCTCTGCTTAAAGAAATAAATAAATATATACACTTTTTATTTTATTTTATTTTATTGACATTTTGAGCAAAAGGCTGAGAAAAACATGTTTTTGGAGAATAGATCGAGTCCATCAACACCCCCAAAGCTTCACAGTCCCAAAGCTCGTCCTGGTTCAACATTTCATTCAGTAATATTAGGCCATTTTGATTTATGCTGTTTATTTTTGTTGATCGCATTATATTACATATACATCTGATTACATATGCTATCACTTGTTTCTGCTTCATCTTCACATGTGTTTTGATCAGGAGATTCATTGCTCCTTCAGAAGATGTGTGCAGCGCCCCAACCGTATAACAGTGAAAACACAGAAAGCTTGAAATTTACACCAATGTCTGGGAAAGTGTTAATAATCAAAATAACCTCCACTATAAATAACCTTTTGCACAATGTAAAGGTTTCATGGATGTTTTATGTAAGAATTTTGACGTATCATTCACTTTTTTTTCTTTACTGTCAACGTGTGTAAAGAAACTTAAAAAAATCAGATCTTGAATCCAGTGGACGGCACAAAGTGCACAACCGGTGTTGTCTTTTGGGAAAGAAGTAGAGACAAATTAATTATTTATTATTTTAGACTCATTTTCTCTTTATTTGAGTAATTGTGCTTATTTACAGTATGTGTGTAGTGATTGTTTTTTACCTTTGAGCAAGTCTCAAATGTTAAGATGTACGATTGAATCTGTTCAGCTTTCGAAGCGTCTCCTCATGCTTGTTTTTAAGTGCATCAAACTGGTCTTTTGTAATTTGCATCCAAAACAAAGAAGCACAGTGAAGATCAGATACGGGTGCAGAATAGACTTCTATGCTATTTTCATTCTCTACACAAATCAGAATTGAAATTTTCTGGTTGCTGTATTTGCCTCGCCTGTGGCATTGTGATCCTGATCAGACACAGACACAGTGCAATCTGAATTTAAAAAAGCAGCACAAATAAACAGACATCAAAAGCTCACATTTAGTTATGAAATAAGAGTTTATAGAACTAGAAGTAAAATAGTTACGTGCATCACATGTTCGAAGCACCACCAGGTACAGACGCCTCTGAGAGCAAAGACAAGACAGAGAACTATCAGAAGAACTTTAGCCCATTTATTCAGAGCAACTTCTTTATTGAGGGTCTTCTGATCTGTGAAGTTTATTATAATTATAAATGTATATAGAGCCATGCTCAAAAGTTTACACAATACAAGATATTTAAAATAAAAGATGTTTAGTCCAAAAGACAGAAAATAGCTGAATTTATAAAAATGCCCCCGTTCAGAAGTTTATGTATTGATTCTTCATACTGTGTCGTGGCCGGCATGATCCACGATGGTTGTGATGTTTTGTGATGGTTGTTAATGAGACCTTTGTTTGTCCCGAGCAGTTCTTCAGAAATCCTCTTGCAAATTCTTTGGTTTTCCAGCATATTTTGCATATTTAATCCCTTTCCAGCAGTGACTGACTGTGTGGTTTTGAGATCCATCTTTTCACACTGAGAACAAGAGAGGGATTCATACTCAAGTATTACAAAAGGTTCTAACATACTGTATGAGGTCAAGATGCATTGACTTCACTTTTATACAGATGTGTGATTGGGTCCCCGACCCTGTCAAAAAACACCTCATGCGAGTGTAAAAACGTTTTTGCGTTATATGGGAGATATATGCGAAATCGACGTGTTTCCATTGGCCGCATTTTCAATTTTCAATTTGAAGGGTTATGGAAACGTAGCTGAGGGCATTTCTTCTCATCAATGGAATTCAGTGAGTTGTCTTTGCAGACCAACAAGTCCTCCAACCCATACGACCATTTAGGTCGTTTGTGTGACTACCTTCAAATACGACACATAAGAGCGTTTCCTAAATTTGCGCCCCTACCGGCAGCTGGAGATATGGAGAAATGCATTATAAACTTTGACTTTCGCCTCAATGCATTATGGTTTTTTTTTTTATCTACCTGCTAACGTTACCAGTTTACGTCAAACTCTCCCAGCTATTCAACGTAGTTTATTGCTATAAAAATATATCTTTTTGGTGACTTCATCACACGTACAGGTAGGGTTTCCATCCGTATATAGTCCCGTGTTTATGAATTAAATGATTTCGTGTTTCAAATCGGTATTTATATTTCAAGCTGTGTGACGTTCATTCAAACGGACGCCAGCATTATAAAGTTAGTTTTCATTGTGACATTCAAACATTGAAATTTGCCTGTGTTGGGAAAGGTATCATGCAAAAAGTCCTCACATTAACTATGTTTTACCAGTAACTGTCGATCCGCTATGTCATGTGTAGTGTAGTAAAAGCACAGTAACGTTATACCATGCTTCTTCCACCGTAACTGTAACCACGGTAACCACAACACTTACAATGCTTTTACCACAGTAACTGTGTTTGTATTGTGTACTATTGTAGTTAAAGCACAGTAATTTACCATGATTTTACCACAGTCTGTGTTTTTACTGTCTACTATTTGTAGGTAAAGCACAGTAACCACAGCACTTGCCATGGTTTTACCACAGTAACCATAGTTTTACTGTGGTATTTGTAGTTAAAACAGTAACACAACACTTACCATGGTTTTACCACAGTAACCATAGTTTTACTGTGGTGTTTATAGTTGAAACAGTAACACAACACTTGCCAAGGTTTTACCACAATAACCACAACACTGGCCATGCCTTTAATACCTTTTTGTAATGTAATTGTAATTCAATATTCTTTTTCTGTCTTGCAGTTACTTCAGATCACATACTCCTCCATCTCCATCTCCCACAACAACCTTTAATCCAACAGATCTTTTAAGAGGCCATCTCTCGCAAAAACTCACTTTCTGTCTCTCTCTCTCTCTCTCTCTCTCTCTCTCTCTCTCTCTCTCTCTCTCTCTCTCTCTCTCTCTCTCTCTCTCTCTCTCTCTCTCTCTCTCTCTCTCTCTCTCTCTCTCTCTCTCTCAGTTTTCTTTAACTGTAATTAATTTACACATATTTTTGCTCTCTTTCTTTCTCTTCTTCATCATGGAATATTTTAAAAAATCAAAATTTGATCAATTCTGTCAGAAAGCTGCTAATAACAGGGAACTTGAACTCAAAGCTCCCAGTGCTGATCTTGAAGAAGCTGCCAGGGAGGCTGAACAGGTCCTTCAAATTAGGTAATGTTGAACACATTTAGTTAT